GTACTTTTCTCTGCTTTCCCCTCATTGGAGCTACATCCTTATGTACAGAGTTGCTAGAATGTGGGAAAATTCTAGCTCATGAATATGTTCTGCTGGCAATCAGGAGCAAGCTACCTCACTATGCCAGGGAGTCATGCTCATGATGGAAACAGACAGATTGTCTTCCTGTTGGGATGACTCTCCTGCCCTACAATTCCCCCAAATCTATCCATTGCTCAAGACCCAGCCCCAGACTCCAGAGCCCAGCAGTGGGGGCTCTGCTCGCCCACCCCGGCACCTCCACCCGCACTGTCTGTGGCACTCACGCTGAACGTACTTTCTGCCTTTTTTGGTAGTTATTTGTGTCAGCGCCTGGTAGCTTTTGGCAGCTGCGGACTGTTACTTACTTTTCTTAGAGCTCATCCACCAACTGCCCTGCTTCTGAGAAGTGGTAAATAAATGGAACAGGATGGTTGACTGCACCAATAAATGCATCTGCTTCTCCTCTGGGACTAGTACTCTGCAATGGGCTGGCCTCTCTTTCTTCTAAGATCCTGTAATGTTCTAAAGAATAGTTTCCTTCTCTTGAAGGAAAGCACATCTAATTCTGACAGAACCAATGTATAGGTCAATGATGTATAGGTCCGTGAACTATTGCTAATTTTTTATTTGTAAAAACATGCTTGGCTCATCATCAGGGAAGACAGAGAGAAGGCTAAAATACAGAGGCGTCTTGAGTAAATTATTGAATGAATAAGGGACTAGTGGCAGAAGTCTAGACAACAGGAAGCGAGATAACAAGGAGAAATAGAAAGAGGAGTAGAGATGGAGAACCCCGTGGGAGAGTTAGAAAAAGAACCAGATAACAAGGGAAGGCGGAAAGGAGACCCTGGACCGATCAACTTCTGAGTCAGCAATTCTAGTTATACTAGAAAGTTGGCTTCATATTTCAGAAGTAGAAAGGCACCAAGAAGAGAGAGACTCAAGGCAAGTCTGGATTCTGATATCCACTTACCTACTTACTATGTGACTGAACAAGTGACTCAGCCTTTCTGAACTCATTTCATTGTTTTAAAACCTTCTTTTGAAACAATTTTAGATTTAGAGAAGAGTTGCATAAATAGTACACAGTTCCCAAATATTCTTCTCTCAGCTTCCCTCAGTGTTAACATCTTTCATAATCATAGTACCAGCACGAAAACCAGGAAATTAACATGATTCAGCAGCTAACTCAACTATAAGCCTCGTTAGGGTTTCACAGTTTTTCCCATTAGTTTCCTTACTCTCAGTCCAGTATTCGCTAGCAGTCGACAGTGCACTTCCCAGTCAGGTCTCCTTCTTGCCTCCAGCCTTGATAGCTCTTCAGTTGTTTTCATGCTTCATGGCTTTGACACTTTTTGAAGCATCGACTGACCTTCATTTGGTGTGCCTGATGTTTCCACATGACTAGATTCAGGTCTGCATTTATGGCAAGAGCACCATAGAGGTGATGCCATGCCCCTTTAAAGCAGGAGGTACAGGTGGATATATCTCAGTATTGGTCAAGGTAACCTTGAGATCGGGTCTGTAGCTGGGTTTATCTACTGTTCTAGTCTCCGTGTGATTAGCAAGTATCTTGAGGAGAGATGTTTTGGGGCTATGCAAATACCCATCTCCCACCACATTTACTTCCAGCCAGTAACTTTAGAATTCATCATTGGTTCTGCATGTAGCATCAACGGCTGTTGCTTTCTAATGGAGACTCCCTACTGCCTCATTTCTTCAACTCTCTTCATCATGGTAATTCTTTAAAAAAATAAAGTTTTACTAGTTTTAATTATGTGTACACATGTGTGCTTGTGTAGGGGTGTGTGCACATGAGTGCAGGTGCCTGTGGAGGTCAGAGACATTGGATTTCCCTGGAGCTGGAGTTATACCTTGTTGAGAATATCCCAATGAGGATGCTGGGAATTGAACTTGGGTCCTCTGGCAGAGCAGAAAGCAATCTGAACTGCTGAGCCATCTTTCCAGTCCCTTCATGATAAATCTTCTATAAGGATACCTAATGCCACCACATTCCATTAATTTATTTAGTATTATATCAGTATGGGCACAAGCATATTAATTTTACTTTATCGTCAGAATCTAACACCATCATTACTTATTTACTGTCTAAACTTCACTTTCTTCATCTACGAGACAGGGGTATCAACAACAACTTTAAAGTGATTACATGGGGTTAAAAAATATGGAGATAAAGCCAGGCATGGTGGCAGTTACCTTCAGTCCCAGCACTCAGGAAGCAGAGGCAGATGGATCTCTGTGAGATCAAGGACAGCCTGGTCTACATAACAAGTGCCAGGTCAGCTGGGGCCTGTCTCAAAGCCAAAGCAAAAAAAAAAAAAAATGTGGAAAGGTCCAGCCCAGCCCAGAGTGCCTATTAAACACAGGGGAGCTCCTTTCTTCTCCTTTCCTTTTGTTTTATCTTTCCTTTCTTTTTCATGTGTCATATATGCACATGTTCGTGTGTGTGTGCACATGCATGAAGAGACCAGAGGTCAAGTTAGGTGTCTTCTTCAATCCTTCTCCACCTTGTTTTTTGACACATGGTCTCTCATTGAACCTGGAACTCACTGACTCAGCAAAGCTGACTGGCCAAAGATCGCAAGGGCCCACCTGTCTCTGCCCCCAGCCTCCCAGGGTCCTTTCCTTTCTGTGTGGAAAGTCATGCTAATTTGGAGGTAAGGCCATTGTAAACAGATGAAAATCTGAATGTAATCATTCCCTTTAATGTAACACAGTTTGGTAAATGATTCGAATTTAGCTAGCCCCAGGCTGCTTGGTGGAAACTCCTCGGAATCTGCCTGTGGTGACTACATGGACTGACTTTTTAATCAGCATGCCCATAATGTGTATGAAAACAGATGCTTGAGAATACTTGAAAATAGTCTGTTCTCTTAAGTAGTTTAAATGTTTTCCCAGAAATCTTATTTATGCTCTGAAGTTGCTTAGCTAAACTATTTTCAGAGATAGCCCAAAGCATGCCTCGACCCAGCTGTGGGTCACACCATCTCTAGCTCTGTATCAGTTAATCATTGATTCATCTTTGATTCCCAGGCCATGATGGTGAATGGAAGAAGTCCAAGTTTGATTTAAAATTAGATTTTTAAAAGTTCTGGCAATTCACTTGGACATTCAGGTCTAATTTTTTTAAAAGACAAGAAGAGGGTCTTAAAGATGTGAGCATGAGTAGATTTGGAAATTGAAAATAAGTTATGAAACTGTAGAAGCCACGAGTAAAAATCATTCAGTTTATGGGAACTTTCACTTTCCTGTCCATTTTTATCAGCAAGAAAAATCAAGAACATCAGGAGACTTATTAGAAAAAAACACAACTCTGGGGCCTTGTGGTTTGCAAGCTTTCCTGGGGACTCCTAGTCATTCTGTCTTAGTTTGGGGTGGGACCAGGACTCTGCAGCTGTAACAGACATCACCTCCAATGCAGGTGAGGGGCAGGAGCCTGCAGTGGTTCAAAGCCCTAGATCTGGAGTCAAAATACATGGGTTTGGATCCCACGATGACCTCAAATCCCCTGTATAACCTTGAGCCAGTGACTGTCCCTTGCACCTCATTTTCTCTATTGGAAGGATGGGGTCCATGTCAATAACTGTCTCCCAAGGTTGCTGTAAAGAGCTAATAGTGGTACATGTGATATAGTCTGTGGATAACAGACCTCTCACTACATAGACCAGGCTGGCTAAAATCTCAGAGACCTACATACCTGCCTCTGTCTCCAGAGTTCTGGAAGCAAAGGCATGCACCACCATACCTAGAAATGGTATTTGGACAAGTCAGGACACAGAGCCACTGGGCTCAGCCAATAATTTTCTCCACTGGGCCTCATGGTCACTGACATCTACTTTAACTTCCAGGGTCTTCACTGGCAAGCTATGGGGCGGAAGAGTGTGGCAAAACATTAGAAAGGGCTTAAGTAACAAAGACTGATTGACCCTTCCTCAACCAGAGATATATATGACCCATAATGAGAGGGTTTGTTGGCATTGGACAGAGATTACTAAAGACCAAAGTCAGAAACTGCTCTACTTGTGGAACTCAACCAGCCAACAACCAACAATACCCTGATTAAAAGAAAACTCTGGGGGAGGGTACATTATGAAGAGACAGAAAGACCCTTTAAGTTCAAGAACACAGCATGTCTGACCCAGCATTCCCGGAGCCCTGTGTCTCCTTCCTGTCTCTCTTCTTTGGCCTAGGCCACAGAAATGCCAGTCATTGTTTCTTTCCTTCTCACTGAGTTCCTAGATGCCATTTGAAAGCTCCATCCTCTGTTCTCATACTCAGTCATACCTGTGCTGTTTGGAATTGGCTACTGGCTTGATCTCAGAGGTTTTGGGGTGACTTTCTGGGCTGAGGATCCCGAGAGGGGAGGGTGATTCATACCCCTTAGTGACTGACTCTATATTGGGATCCCAGGTGTTATTTTGCTGAGGAGTGCTAATGGTGAGAGGGGAGGTGGCCAGATGTGGCCAGAGGTCCTGATCCCAAAGCTCTCAATGGAGACAGAGGTCTTTAAAACACTGTTGGAATTGGGCATCGTGGCACATACCTTTAATCACAGCACTTGGAAGGCAGAGGCAGGCAGATCTCTGTGAGACTGAGGCCAGCCTGGTCTACACAGCAAGTTCAAGGCCAGCTGGGGCTACAGGGACCTTTCTCAAAAAAGACCAACAACACTCCAAAACACTGTTGGGAATGAGTGGAGGGGTCTAGGGGTTGAAATATTGGTGAATTCAGCAAAGACAGGGAATACAGACAAGATCAATCCAACTTACAGGAAGGTAGGGTGCAGTGAGAAGGGAAAACACAGTGTGGTGTCAATCATATTGCTGAGAAGGAAAACAGCCATTGTGGAAGTGGCAAGACCACAGGTAGAGGAACTACCAGACAAGAAAAACAGGAAAATGCATATAAAATCCATACATGGCGGCACAAATACAGAAACATCCAGAGTCATTCCTTACCTCATTAAATCTCATCAAGAGGTCTTCAAGGGTGTTGTGCTCATCATTCTGAGAGGTGAGAATCGATGCTGAGATGGATGCTTTCAGGCAGGGCAGGGACCTCTGGCATTCAGGGGAGCCTAGGTCCTGGGTTAAGAAACAAAGGTAGTCCATGGGCAGGACCTTGCGGTAAATGCTCTGCTCCTGCTCTGTCAGGATGCTGGCGACTTCCTCGGGGAACTGAATGAGGGGCTGGAGATCGATCAGTTCCTTGCTGATCCCAGCTGAACTTGAAGGGAGAACACTGGAATTGGCCATAGAGGTGCCTGGTTGGCGTTCTAAAACAAACAAACAAACAAACAAACAAAAAACAGAACTCACTGTTATACTAAGATCAGTATCTCTGACACTAGGTACTTACTGGAGAGACAGTCAAATCTTGCAAGTTTCTTAACAAAATCCTTTGCTTAGTGAGTAAATTCTACACTGTCACGCTTATTACGAAGATTTTTCTCAAATCTGTCCTCCCTACATCCCTGTGAGGTGGAGGTGGGGACTTGGTTTTCCATTTTCAGAAGCAGCATTAACCCAAGACGTCATTCTCCAGCAAGCTCAGTATGACATCAAGAAGCACAGCATGACACTTGTAGACCACCATTTGCTTCCTTATCTTTTTCTGCTAGTCATCAGAGTAAAAATAAATAAGTATGAGGGTGGGCTCAGTCAATTGAACTGGAAGATGAAACTAAGCTGTGAATGTGTATGTTTATTTGTCAAAAAACATATAGCCTTGGGGCTGGAGAGATGGTTCAAAGGTTAAGAACGCTGGCTGCCCTTGCAGAGGACCTGGGTTTGACTCCCAGCGCCCTGGGTTTGACTCCAGGGGAATCCAACATCTTCTTCTGACCTCTGTGGGCATTGCATGACACGGATGCACTTATATACGCACAGGCAATACACTCATCCACATAAAAATAATAAATTTAAAAAAATGTAGACCAGGTACCCAGGGCCCTCTACATGCAAGGTTTCAGAACATCATGGTTTATTCTATCATCCCTACACCTTCAAAAACTTCCATTTCACTGCGGTTCATTTGGGAGTTTGCAAGAACAGAACAATCGATACAGGTAAGGAAGGACTAGGTCATAAGGGGATGCATTCAATTAAATGATTGTACTCCATGTTACAGCTGGTAGCGAGGTGGTAGAAGGAGACAGGAAAGGTGGTGACAGGTGTATTAGAGAGAAATTCCAAAGGCAGATATTTCTGGGCTCAATGATTCCCTTAATTAGATCTGCCATACATGCTTTCTCTCTATTTAGACACCCTCATGCTTCTTAGTCACCTGCCAAAACTCATTCATCCATGACTCGTTCATTTACAGAACCATCCATTAATTCAGCAAAATTTGAAATATCTATGATGAACCCCAGAAGAGAAAAATCTCTCCTCCTCTTCTTCCTCCTCTTCCTCTCCTCTCCTCTCCTCTTCTTCCTCTCTCTCTTCTTCTTTCTCTCCCTCTGTCTTAGGGTCTGTCTCATGCATCCAAGGCTGGCCTCAAAATTTCAAACTTGCTATATAGCTGAGGATGACCTGAACTTCTGATCCTCCTGCCTCCACCTCCTGAGTGCTGTGATTATAGGCATATGTCACCATGCCTACTTTATATGGTGATGGGGATTGAACCCAGGCCCTCATGCATGCTTAGCAAGCACTCTACGAACTGAGCTGCCTCCCCAGTCCTGGAAGAACAAGCTGTTTTGTGGTCATATGAGTTTGTGAAATGTCACACATACCCCTGGAGACACTTGAGGCACGCTGGTACACTGCTACAGGTTCCAAAGGGTTTGCAGTAAAGAATCCATTTGTATTCGCTTAGCCTAGTACACGTTATCCAATATCTATGGCATCATTCTATGTGACTAGCATCCTTGGAACCTTTTCAGGAAACACTGCCATGGGATCCAAACTACCCTTGATCTCCATCTAGTGTATGTCTTTCTCTCGTTGAGCCTTCTGGGAATCTTCTTCATCACTGCTATAGGAGGACCTCATGCTATGTGCCAGAATCTATCCCTGCCATCTGGCTGTTATGACACCTTTAAGTGGTTCTTGTTAAGATAAAGCCTGCCTTAGCAGGTTCTTGTTAAGATAAAGCCTGGCCTGGCACTAGCCCTAACCCTAACCCTAACCCTAACCCTAACCCTAACCCTAACCCTAACCCAACCCTAACCCTAACCCTAACCCTAACCCTAACCCTAGTCATGGACCTGTACCTAGGCCTAGCCCTAATCCTGGCCTAACATGGCAGCTCAAATACAGAAACACCCGGAGTTTCTTTTTCTTGATGGCACCATATTACTCAATGCTGGGCAGCAGTCAAGTTCCAGAAGGACTTCCATAACATTCAGACTTCAGCGTTCTTAGACTCTTTGTGCATCTATCTCTATTGAGGAAATCTTTTGTACACCTACAAATGGCTTCTATGAATCACTGAACTCTGAAGTTATTGTCTCTAAACATGACCTCCTTCTTTCCCCATCCTCGCATAGCAACTGCAGTGTTGACAGGAATCTCTGTTGTCTGGGATCTGATGATCTGCCCTCAACTCATTCTCTCTGTTGTCTGTGACCTGATGACCTTCCTGCCCTCAACTCATTGTCTCCTAGGCAGCTCAACTGCCTTTGAAGCATTCCATAAGAAAAGTTTTCAATGTTATTTGCTATTTAATTAAGTAAGTTGTTTCTCTTTTTGAAGACTGCTTTCAGACTAGTTGAAAACAGTGAAGCTGGGCACTGTGGTACATGTCTGGAACTCCAGCACAGGGGAGGCTGAGGCAGGTAGATCACAGGCTCAAGGTCAGTGTGGATGAGAGTCAGTCTGCAGCCATACAGGGCTTCATAGTAAAACCCTATCTCAAAAAAAATATGAAGAGAAATTGTTACTATTTAGTGACTTTGCTCTCTGCCGATACAAGCTAGATGGTTTAAACATGTTCCAGGCAAAACTTTGTCTTCTCTATAAAATCCATCATACCAACAAGCTCACATCTGTTTAATTCTAAAAGTCAAACAGATGAGTAAGGGATTCACTCTATACTTTATCTCTCTCTTGGACCAAACTACCAAAAATTCACTGCAGCAAAAAGTAAGAACTACCAAATAATTTTTGGTTCTTTATAAGTTCATATTCAAACAAATTAAAATAACACAGATGCCCAAATCTAGCCAATATGGCTTTATATGCCAATTCTTTTAATAGTTTATAAAATGACTAGATTTCCTGAAAACTGAGTCAGAATTGAGCCCGATGACAAGGACCATTTGGGGATACAGATAATTTATGCACAGTGGAATTAGCCACATATAGGAACTTTTCTCAAAAATAACCAACTCTGAGACATGATTTTAAAATAAAATACTACAGAGGAAATAAAAGTACATAGAACTTATGAAATAACTTGTCTAATATATGAGAAGAGATGGTGAAATAAAGTATATAAACAACATTAAGATGTTATAACGGAAACAACAATAGCTCTTGAGATATGAGTCACTGTTACAATGATGAATCAAGTGACTGGTGACAACCAAGGAGTCTAAAATAAAACGATAAAGAAGAAGGAGCCTAGTCAGTATATCACATTCAAAGCACAAATCAAAGCTAGAAGGCTTGAAACATATGTAAGTCTTTGACTAGTGTTTCTGAAGCAGGATTGCTCAGGGATTTTTATACATGTGCTGCAAAGAAACATCACATAAGTTTTCCTTGGGGCAATATTCTGTCTCCTAGGTTCCATGCTTTTCAAAGATACCATATTCCCTTTTGTCTCTTCCTTACTGGGCCCTCCTCATCGTCGCATACTACACTGCCCCAACCTCAGCAGCACGTCACTCCAGCCTCCCTCTGCATAACCTGATGATGGGTTAATGACCTCAGAGTTTACAACTCCTAATCCTCCCCTCTCTTCTGTGCACCTACTGGAACCTGCAGATCTTCTCTTGCAAAACCAGTCTTAGAAAGGTTCTGGTTGATAAAATTATCTACCTCAGCTAGGTGTGATGACATATGCCTGTAATCTTAGCTTTGGGGAGGTAGAAGCAGGAGGATCCAAAGTTCAAGGCTGGCCTAAGTTATATGAGCCTGTCCCAAAAATCAACACCAAAACAAAAATTATCTACCCAGTTTCAGTCAGTGATATCAGCTCCATGATTTTCTGTAATAGTTTTTCTATAGCCAAATAGATATATGGAATAAGTAACTTCAGATTCTGGGTCTCTGCTCAAACAAAAGCTTCCACTGGGCCAGGACAGCTGGGGCTACTAGGAGACCTTGTCTTAAAACAAACAAAAACAAAACAAAACAAACAAACAAACAACTTACTATAGTAAATGCTTTCTATGGATTAGTTCAGGATATTAGGTATTTAAAATTTTTAATTTGTTTATTTTTATTTTATGTGTGTAAGTATTTTGCCTGCATGGATGTATGTGTACCTGTGTTGTGCATTGCCCATAGAGGCCAGAAGAGAGCATCAGATACCCTGGAACTGGAGTTATGGATAGTTGTTTGCTGCCATGTATGTGCTGGGACCAAAACTGAATCCTCTGCAAGAGTAGTCAATGCTCTGAGCCATCTCTCCAGCCCTAAGATATTTAAAAATTTACTGTATGTATGTATGTATGTATGTATGTATGTATGTATATGTGTATGTATTGATGTATATATTTTGTGAGTATGGGTGTTTTGGCTGTATATCTATCTGTAAGTGCATCACATGCATGCAATGCCCAAGGAGGCCAGAAAGAGGGTATTGGATCCCCTAGAACTGGAGTTACAGATGGTTGTTGGTCACCATGTGGGTGCTGGGAACTGAACCCCTCAGTCCTCCGCAGCCAATGGCTCTTAACTGCTAAACCAGTCACACCGCCCCCCGACCCCCCGCCCGCTGGCTGGTGGGTTTTTTTTTGTTTGAGACAGGGTTTCCCCGTAGCCCCTGCTAGCCTAGAACTCTCTTTGTAAAGCAGGCTGACCTCAATCTGACAGAGATCAGCCTGCCTCTGCCTCCCTAGTGCTAGGATAAAGGCATGAACCACAACTCAATCTCACAGGTATCAGCCTTCCCCTGCTTCCTAATAAAGGCAAGTACTGGGATTATATGTGTATGTATTGTGTATATGTGCATGGGTGGCATGTGTACCACACAGTGTGTGGAGGTCAGAGGACAACTTGCAGGAGTCAGTTTTCTCCTTCTACCAGAGACTGAACTGAGATCATCAGGCTTGGCAGTGAGCACCTTTTCCTACCGAGCCATCTCGCCAGCTCCCAGTAGATT